TTTCAGTTTGCCAACTTTATAGCACTGAGCTAAAAAGGCCAATAACACATTTACTTTTAGTTATGAGAAAATATTCCTTTACTATATAAGTCAATCAATGCACTTGTCAGTAATGAGTTCTGTGATGGGGCTTATGTTTCCAGGGAATCCAAGGAGTCTTTGGAAGAGTGGCAGTGGAGGTGAAGCTATGTTGAGGACATAGACTGACTTAAAATATGTGACCATTTCTTTTTTTTTTCACTGAAGATGAGAAGTATGGTTAATTATTAGAAATTTTTAAAATATAATTGGCTTTAATACTGGCTAACTATTCCATGATAGATTAACATGTCTGCACACCTAAGTGTGCACCTAAGATGAAATGTCTTGATGTTTAAACAAATTCTCTCAATCAGTCAAATACGAAACATATGGAGAACAGTTATGAGAAACACATGTTGATATTGGGGGTTAAAGGGATAAAGTGAGTGGCCTATTGGTGTGCAGTTGTTAACGAACAGAAATGTCTCTTTTGTATTGTACATGATAGTTGATCAACTATGCATATCATGCCATAGAAACCTCAAGCTTAGTCCCATTGTTACTGTAGAAATTTCTTTTGGATTCTTACCAGGGGTTGTTTCTTGCAAGGATGTCTCAATGTCAACAAACATTGTGCACAAGATAAGGCATTTGTTCAAAAGTGAGGGTATGCTATGTTTCCTCTGTTGTAAATCTATGATATCATTACATTTAAATGCAGCTTATTCCAGTGCATGAAGTTAGGGTTTGCACTAAACGAACTTGAATACCAAGAGAGGAAGGACTGAGGTCCTTGTAACATAAAGCTTACCTTGAATTATCTCATTTCAAACTGTTACACATACATTTGTGCATATGCTATATTTATTCAGCTAGAAGCTAATCTTGGTAAGAAGTTGAGACCCTCAAGGCTTGGAATCAACCTAACCAGCATGAAAAATTAAAACAAAAACACCAAGCCTATTTTTCAAATAAATTAATTGCATTACACTATTGTTTAACAGTGATTTTCTTCATTCTTAGCAAAGGTATGTCAGACAGTAAGGACTCACTAGACTCTTATGTACTCATCACTGGCGTGGTGAACAGGTAAGCAAGTGTTTGCAAATCTGCAGTAACTGTCAATCATTGGTCAATATTAGACTAATACTGACAAAATGCAACAAAATTTTGACTGAGGCTTCACATAATGCCTTGAAAACTTTGAAATGGAGACTCAGTTGCAGAAAAGAAAGAAGATATCAGAAATGTCTGATAACATTCTGTGTTGTTAGAAATAACTGGGACTTGATAATAGACATGTATGTTTTGAAAAAGAAAATGAAAAAAAATATCTTTGCTGCCCTGCATCCAACCTCATAAACTAGACTCAGTAAACAGGTGTAAAACAAATGAAAAAAAAAACTCTTCAAAGAAAAGTCTGACTCATCCGTGAGGCTCAAGAATAGGAATGATATCAACTTGAAGACTCCATTCTGTGGAACTTCCCTGAACATTATTTCGGACTTTTGATTGATTACTCTCACAGTACAGTTGTATTTTTTCATTGCAACCTTAAAAGTTTGAATTTACTACAATTTACAATGATTACATACTTTATGTATTTTTATTAATACACCTGTTGATGCAACCCAGTGGGTTTGTACGAACAAAAAAATGTCAACTCAAAGTGCCTCATTCTATTTTTACAGTGTTTAGTTTATTTCGATGTAACTTCCATGAGTGACCAAGACAGAATTTCTCCTAAAAATCTCCGCCGCTGAGTGATGTGAAGAAAGAAAAATGTCAATAATGGGAGTATTAGTTTATCTAATTCCAAATTCTTTGCACAGACATCATAAGAATTGTATGGCATACAGTAAGGAGAATTACATAAAAGATCTTGGGAGTGAAAGGGTTAAGCAAGTCTACAGTCTTGTATAGCCACCCAGATTGAAGTTCAATGCTCAGTAATATTTTGTGGTTTCAGAAATCAGGCAGTGCATGGTGATATTGTAGTGGTGGAATTATTTTCCTAATTTCAGTGGAAGGGCAGATCAATGGCTATTAGAAGCAGTGATGAAGGTGTGAATAATCTTAAGTTGATACTTGACATGTATAAATGTTTTTAAGCCTTAAGATGTCACTTTTTATCCTGCCATGTAGATCGAGACAACTTTCATTCTGGTAAATTCGGCTAATTATTTCACATTTAGGAAAACATGACTGAAAGAAACCTCTGAACAGTCCATTCAATGCATTCAATCAAATTTTCTGAACACATGAATACAAACTGTACACCGAAACGATTCAAGTGATGGCCTCTCTTTAGGTAAAGATGAGTCTAGAGGGGACCAAAGTGACGTCATGCCAACTGGCCGTGTGGTGGGAGTGGTGCAAAGGAACTGGAGAGATTATGTTGCAAGTTTTGCTGAAAATGAGGTAAATGCTTCTTCATGGACCAGCATGTTCAGCGGTCCACCGTGAATTTCACCCGTTTCGCCGAATCTCATCTCAGAGTGTGCCATTTCGCGTTGAAAATTCTCATTTACTTTTGGCTGTCGTTGGCTGATTAAGATGTTGACCTTTGTTTGGATTGAAGAGATTATCTTGGTTTTGGTTTTTACGAATCTTTATCAAAGAACTCTCCGAAAAACAAATGACCGCGTTGTTTACAGTCTAATAACTATTCAACATTGAACGGTGGAATGGGGGTCGTAAGTCGAAATTGGTTGATTTTAGGGATTTTTAACAAATTTTTTTTCAAGATTACATTCACATTTGAACACAGATTGAAGTGGACACATGGTTACGTGGATGTGTTAGGCTTGCAGTGGGAAGGACCACCCCTCCCTTAGTAATATTGTAAGAAGAGCTCACAGTGGATAGGCGCGAGTAACGTTTAGAGAACAAGAAATTTTACGAACTCAATGCATAATTAATTTATATCGACTGTATATCCACGCGTAACCGTATCTACTCTGACCAATCTGACGATAGGCTATCTGACCGCGTATGCAGCCTCTCAAACGGTGTAGGTTCAAAGCAACTGGGTATTCGTTATGGTAATAGGACCGAGTGGAGTCTAATTCGGTCTGTAATCATACAAGTGATGAGCAAATCGGACTAGACATCCGTCATACTTTTTCATGAACAAACAACAGTTAACTCAGCGAAATGCACGACAACAACGCGCGCACTTGACGCGTACTGTCCACTTACAAAGGCATGACTTGTCAACTGTCCTATTACACTGTCCAAGTACACTATCTATCGTTCGAGAATGTTCTTATAGTTTTGAATTACTCCATTTAAGTCCACAAACTCCATGTTTTATTGACATGTGATACCAGAGTGAACCAATACTCAGTCTAAAGGGAATTTCTGTGCTGACTCAGGTCGTTGTGGTCCCATGGATTACCTTACACCCAAGATACGGATATGTGCGCGTAAGCTGACAGCTTGCGAGAACAGAGGTTTGTTCATAACTGAACGTTTTTCTCAACTAACGGATTTCCAAAACAACGACTTTTTTATTTGCTTTTGAAGAACGGGAATTGCTTTGGATTCCCCTTCAAGAATAAAACTTTACCCGTTCTTTTATAGGGTGTGTTAGTGGAATTAGAAGCACTCGCCTTTAAGTTTCCTTGGTTCTTTGTACTGATTTCTCTCGATTTAATAAGCTGTATAGTAGGCGTTCGACATTAACGACTATAGGCTCTCTGACGTGAAACGCGCGCGAAAGGGAGCGTATACGTGGGTGAAAGAGAAAACTCCTTTTGTCTTACGCGCGTCTTAATCCAAAATACTTGCATACTATTTTGCTTTATGGACTTTAATGACTACTTTCGTTTCCGTTTCAAGACATTCGATCGAGAAATCGAGGATAAAAACATCTGTCCAAACATAGTCAAGTATTGGGGTCGAATGAAACGATAAATATAGTGTCTCACGTCAAAAGTTCATGAAACAGAATGTTTTTTGAAGATGAAATATTGAAAGATCGTATTTTGAAGCATTTCATTTTCGATTGACATCGTTATCCAACATCGTTATCAAACTCCTTTTGTCTTACGCGCGTCTTAATCCAAAATACTTGCATACTATTTTGCTTTATGGACTTTAATGACTACTTTCGTTTCCGTTTCAAGACATTCGATCGGGAAATCGAGGATAAAAACATCTGTCCAAACATAGTCAAGTATTGGAGTCGAACGAAACGATAAATATAGTGTCTCACGTCAAAAGTTCATGAAACAGAATGTTTTTTGAAGATGAAATATTGAAAGATCGTATTTTGAAGCATTTCATTTTCGATTGACATCGTTATCCAACATCGTTATCAAACTCCTTTTGTCTTACGCGCGTCTTAATCCAAAATACTTGCATACTATTTTGCTTTATGGACTTTAATGATTACTTTCATTTCCGTTTCAAGACATTCGATCGAGAAATCGAGGATAAAACATCTGTCCAAACATAGTCAAACATTTGAGTCGAACGAAACGATAAATATATTGTCTCTAGGGACTTTCACGTTAAAAGTTGAAGGTGAAATATTGAAAGATCATATTTTTAACCATTTCATTTCCGTTTGACATCGTTATCCAAAACTTCATTTCATTTTCGACATTAGGTAAGTTCATAACAAGGGGTTTGAATCAAAATTTGTTGATTTGCAATCATGTTTGTGACTAGTTGTTTCGATTTCACACTCGGCCCACACTCCGGCAAAGGTGACGACCAAACAAAGAGACCGATATGGATGTATTTGTTGCATCTGTTTAAAAATATTTAAGGGAATACAAATCTCATCGACACCTACGAAGCACTTTGAAAACAATATCAGGCAGCTGATCCTTCCACAGACTTTCCATTGGCTTACAGGTGTTCACGCTCCACGACCGTCTGAAATTTTCTTTTCTTCGATGTTTGCCTTCTCATTTTAGATACTATCGTCTCACTTCTTTGCTGATTTAATTTTCATCACAGATGAAATCATGGATAACCCGCAACAACTTCAAAATCACGCTAGTGCTGAAAACTCCAGCAAGACAATTGGGAGGAATGAACAGGCGCCGCATTCACCTTGGGGTCCAATGACTATTATCATAGCAAGTTTCCTCGTCGTTGTCATATGCCTTGCCACAGTTGGTAACCTTGTGGTATGTCGGCTTGTCTGGGTTTGTCGGCGCATGCAGATCCCGTCACTGTACTTTGTGGCTAGCATGTCATTTTCTGATTTCCTCACGGGTTTGCTGGTTTTGCCACTAACTTTTGGCTACCTCGTTAGCTATCAGGATACAGGTAAATATTTTACTTAATGGAAAATAGACCACACAAACGTAAGACAAGTGGGGTAGGTTTCTGAGAAACCCTGGTGCTACGTTAGCGGGGGATATTCACGCAATATAATCTGGTTTCATCAACTGAGACGGTTGGTTATGTAAATTGGCTTCTGTCCTTCCGCCCTTCGCCGGAGCAAAATTTTTAAAATTAATCAAAGCTGGGCTGTCCGAAAGAGCGTTTCTCTATCTTGAAAAACGATGGGTTCAGCAATAGCGTGGGATGAAAGCTCGCCTTAACTAATAGAAGAAAAAGATGATAATGATAAATCGATCAATCGATTTGTGGGATTCCATTTAACCACAGCCAAAGCTGATCAAAATTCTTTTTGCTAATTTCAAACGCTCAAAGAAATTTTATTAATCGCGTAGTCATCGCCCATAGCTAGCACTATTTTTGCTTAGAAACGGAAGTCGTGAAAAACGAGGTGTTGTCGAAAGGATTTGAGACTTGACCTCTCACCACATGGGAAAATGGACATGATTGAGCCGTCGTCGGAAACTTGACAAATGTTCTGGAAGCGAGGGGGGGGGGGGGGGGGGAGGAAGGAGGAGGCAGTTGAGGCGGGGGTAAGGGAGGGAGGAAGGAGGAGGGGAGGCGGGGGAAGGAGGAGGGTAGATGGTCAGAGACAAGCAAGAGCTGGTTAGACTGTAAATACGTTTACTTTCATTAATTTTTTTTAATAGTTAATGGGCAAACCTGTGTTCTTTCATTTACTTCAGTATACTTGATCTCTAGGTCGATGGACTTTTGGCAATTTTACCTGCGACCTCTATTTATTCCTGAACTTTATTCTGTGCAGCGCCTCCATATACAACTTGTGTGTGGTCAGCGGAGACAGATACTTGGCTGTGACTTCACCACTAAATTATCTGTCACGCATGAACGAAAGCAGAGTCAAGAAAATTATCGGAGTGTCCTGGTTTTGCGCGCTGATAGTAGCCGGTTTCGTCACATACGGCAGGCATGCTTCCAAGGAAAACGACGTCAACTGTTCGATATGGGGTTTGCGATATGAGTACTCTGTTTTTGTACTGGTTATAGCTTTTATTCTACCGGTATTTTTTCTCGTATTCGTGAATATGAAAATGTTTCTAATTGCGCGTGCTCATATGACCAGAATACACGTGCAAGAAATATCGCTGGCTCCTGTTTCGACGTTTACGAAGAACGCGCTGAGTCCAGAAGGAGAACCTAAGAAAACTAGTCAAAGAGCACGACTGAAACGGGAGATCAAAATATTCAAAACATTTCTCATTGTCACATGTACTTTTCTGATTTCTTGGACACCATTTGTCGTGATTCTTTTAATAGATTCAATCTCACCTGTCCCGGGTCTTATCAGACGCTCTTCGATCATCCTTTTATACTGCAACAGTGCTCTGAATCCATTCATATACGGCTTTTTTAATTCCGAGATTAGGAAGGCATTGTCCGAGATTTTTAGTCGTAAATGTACTTTACCTTTTAAGAGATAGTTAAAAGGTGATTAAAACACTTAAAGAAAAATGCTTTAACTCTAAAATCTTCCGCAGAGTTCATGACGTAATGGTGTAAATCGCTATGATGTTTCTATTGACAGTCAAACCACGAACCTTGACTGACTGGGAAGAATCATGCGATTATAATAAATTACCATTGTGTTGCAATTGATGGCCTTGAGTTTGAGTGGTCAAATTCATCTGAGGCTAGGCCTTTTAATTTACCTTCAATAGGGCCAGATAACTATTACATCACCTCGAACAAAAAACTACCATAAGTTTATTAAATTTCTATTGGATATTTCAATAAAAAGTGCCATCGCACAATATGTCTAGAAGATTCAGTTACGTTATAGTACAAATGTTTTCATTCAAAATATCTAGGAAAAGAAAGGCAGTACGCTGTTTTCATTTTCATGTTTTCAACTAAGAGAACACTGATGCCATGATGATAAGGTTTCAGCTCTTCCGAAGTAAAGATTTGGAAGCGAGCAGACGACCCACTGTTCCAGCGGATTCTCGTCTTTGAATCGACTGAACTGAATGGCCTCTTGTTTCTTTTTCAAGGCCTTTAGGTTTGTTTGACAGGATGACTTCTGCCAGTAAAGGTTCGTCTCATTGTCATGAAGAAGACTGTAAAAAGAGATGAAACATATTTACAGCTTGAAATGATTTTTTCCTAATTTTCCCCATTTGAGAGCACTAGCTTTCGTTCTCTCCCCTCCCCTCCATACTTGCCGATCTCCAAACACTCTATGCACTGACTAAGTACTATTATAGAGTCTTCTGATTATTTGAGAACTCATAATATTTTGGTATGAAGAATTACAGCTTTTTTATTTAACTTTTTAATAACGCTATAATGTACGGTTATTTAAAGGCGATTTAATTACCGGTAGTTGTCATCCAGAAAGTCACATCTATTTTCTGTAACATTCAGAGCAACTTGCTCAAAGAAAAGTTTTCGCTCCAAAGCTTCAATTTCTCTCATCATTTCAGTGGCAGCTCCATATTTGTGTGTTCCAGGCCCTACGTTAGGGCGTCGGTTCCAACAAAATGCGAACTTTTATTAAAGCGAGGGAATATAAGATGTAAGCACAATTCAACTGACCAATGCGCATTTAGTATTTGTTTGCAACCGAGATATCGTGGTAATGATACCAATCAAAAGTTTAACCAGCAAGTGCTTTTTATGTTATCAACAAAATAAGCCGGGTTCAAGTTGAAGAAAATACAGGAATGGCTCCGACCTGTGATTGGATGATAAAAATAGTAAGGGTGATAACTTATATCTTCCTCCTTGCTCGTGAGTATGGTTAACCGCGTGTCTCGAATGAAATATCATAACTGAGAACACCGATGAGTCAATCGGAAATGGCTACTTAGATAATCAAAGAAGGCAGAAAGTCTAGCTTGTTCAGCGAGGTTTCAGCGATATCGCGAAAGAAAGTCATCCGCTGACAAAACTCATTTAGTCAGTTTGCACGACCTGAAGTTGCCATTCATGTATTTCACGCAGACATGTGTTCTTGGCTCCAACTCATGCGTATATTAGTTTTTTTTTCGTTCTGGCTAAATAATTCATACACTGAGATTTTGAACAAGATAGACGATGTGATCGATGTCTTCTTATGTTGAAAACATCGTTTGCAAAGAGCATCTGAATTTATTACTACAAGCGGAAGAAAAATGTTTACTCACCTCTTATATGCTTTCATCTGCATCTCTCGTTTGGATTTCACGAACGTGACGCAGAACCCATTTTTAGCTTTTACTGGGTTGTATCTGAACAAGGTTTACGCGCTTTGAAATATAAGTTTTCTTTCTGGACAGTATTTTCAGGTGAATGCTCACTAGTTTAGTTCCCCATTTTTTTTGACACAACAAAAAATTATTAAAAAATTTGATAAACCAATCAGGTTCAATTTCAGTCGCACTGTCATTTAAGCGCGAGCGAATTTATAATAACGGCAATAATTTTCGTTAGCTTTGTGTCAAAATGACGACCCTTGATTGATATTTAATAAGTAAAAAAGAGTTATACTTTTTCATCGCCGGAATATCGCTTACTTTGGCCACAAGCTCGAAAATTACCAGAAGTGCTCTAATTAAAAAAGTAGTCCTTTCAGTGGTAACTGAAAAAAAATCACGATAACGAAAATAATAGGTTTAAAATTACGTTTGAACACCAGGTAACCAAAATATGAACTAGGTAACATTTAATATTGAAGCACAAGTGCACGAGACACGCGGTTAACCTACGGTACGAGCAAGGAGTTAAGATGCCTCAGACTACTTTTATCCACTTGATAAGAGCCTTTTAATGGATCTCAACTACCTTATTACCAGCAACGACTTTGCAAAATTATTTTCATCGGAACCTGTCGGTTCCAACAAAATGCGAACTTTTATTAAAGCGAGGAAATACAAGATGTAAGCACAATTCAACTGACCAATGCGCATTTAGTATTTGTTTGCAACCGAGATATCGTGGTAACTGGATACCAATCAAAAGTTTAACTAGCAAGTGTTGTTGGGATATGTTATCAACAAAATGGCGCCGGGTTCAAGTTGTAGTATTACTTGAAAAATGGCCGTTGTTTCATATCCATGAACGCCGAAATATGATCAAAACTAATAAGCTTTTAAGGCTGAAAACGAAAACAGGCCGACTTATTGATATTGTGCGGGAACACTATCTGCGGAAAGATGTTCCTTGCCACAGTGAAGTTTGTCCAGTTTGCGAACAAGGTAAGTAAGCGTTTGCAAGCAGAGGAAGCTACAGCCAGTCTTCGGAAGTTGTTATCTTAGTTACAGTATAATATAGTTCAGTATCACACTCTTTAATTTATTTTGCTATTTAGGCAACGGAACTTTGCTTTGTAAATCACTGACTCATTACGTTGTTCCTGATTGCCAGGTAAGTTGAGTTTGTTTACCGCACTTTGACCGATCTTGGCCCAAGGGGTCCGTGTGTCATTCGACCGTTCAATTTTCTTTTAAAATTAAAAATTGAAAATTGACGTTTTTTGTTTGATTTTCGTTATTTTTTATCATAAAAAATAGGAAAGTGCCAAATCGAAAATTTTTTACTATTTTTCCTTTTGATAGAATATTGAAACGCAACCTATATTTTTAATTTAATCCTGTCAACAATAAAGAGAAAAATGAAACAGAGGGGCAATTTTGCTCTTCCGATAATGTTGCAGTCTGTGGCATGGCTTAGTTTTTCTGTTTTCAGTGGCAGTGTTATAATTGAAAATTGATTGCAATTTTCAAGTTTTGTTTTTCAGCCAAAACACTCAAAATAGTAGACAGAACTACCCAAGAGGGAGGGGGAGGGGTCCATTCACACGGTAATTTTTTACCCCCAGCACCCCCTCCTCACGGTCAGGTCCGCTTCCTTGTTTAAAAGGTTGGGAATGAAGTGAAAGTTTAGCTGTCTCTTCATGGTCTTTCATGACGTTTTAGAGTGTCTTCCTCAGTTCTGTCCATTACAGCGACATTTAGCTAAGAAGTTAAAAAGATCTTAGACCTCGTATTGGAGCATATTGGTGCGGGTAATGTAGCCATATTGACTTTTTCACCATACTGTAAAACGTGGTTGGAAGGAAGGTGACGGAGAGGGAGTTTCTGATACCACCCCATTTCTAATGGCCTGCCTGGAGAAGTGAAAGTTTCGTGCTCTTTCGGACTGTCCGTTCGCCGACATCATGGCAAGCAATAAAACCTTTGATTTGACTAGGGTTGGAAAAGACTGCTTAAATTACGAATAGCAGCGGGGGATATGACAGTTTCCAGGCTTTCTCAAGCTTTTCAGGCAAGTACACTTTGTATCTACATTTGGAGTCTTGCAAAATCGTCTGATGACATGACTGCAACAATGCAAGATTAAGTAATCTTAAACAAAATTTAGATTGTTTTTAACTGTGGTTACCCTGCAGGCAGTTGTGTTGGGGGTGAAATCTTCAACACTGAAAACAGCAAATGAGGAAAATTGTATTTCTCAGGTGGAAACGAGTTTTTTGTACTTAAGGGATGAGTTTGGAGACATGATGTACTGGCTGACTCACTCAGGACGATTTAATGTCTTGCATTTAGAGGATGGATCTTCTCTTCTTGTCATGGGGGAAGATTTAACGAAATTGCCATCAAACATCCCACAGTTAGCTGGACAACATATACAGGGCAATTAAGTCATTTGTTAACTTATGGTGTCTCTCTTACTGGAATTTGCCACCACTTTTTGGTAATCAAACATCACCTTGTGAAGATTATCATGCAGAAATAACACACAAGAATGTGGACCTCCTACGTTCCAACTATGGCAGATACAGAAACCACTAATGTAATTTATGTTCAGTCTAAGGCAAGACATACATATATGTTATTTGCCGGCTGGGAGGTCCGTATGGTGAAAAACTGTGACCGAGGTCTTGAAAATACTGTAGAACTTCCCTGAACATTATTTCGGGCTTTTGATTGATTACTCTCACAGTACAGTTGTATTTTTTCATTGCAACCTTAAAAGTTTGAATTTACTACAATTTACAATTATTACATACTTTATGTATTTAAATACACCTGTTGATGCAACCCAGTGGGTTTGTACGACAAAAAAATGTCAACTTAAAATGCTTCAGTCTATTTTTACAGTATTTAGTTTACTTGTATTGAACTCCCGTGAGTGACCAAGACAGATTTTATTTTTCCTAAAAATATCAATACAATGCCAAGCCGCAGCATTTTCAAGACCGAGGTCACAGTTTTGTGAATACGGACCGACCCATAGCCGGAAATAACATATTTATTGTTTTTAAACTTGACTAAATTCTTTCCGAAAGAACCCGAATGACTTATGGCCGTAAATACGGCAAGATCTTCCATAAACTGAACAATTTTTGAGTGAGTAAATGGTAGTTAAAATAGAGGTGATGCAAATTTAAGAGAGATGCCTCAGCGAAACATTTTCATTTCCGTAACGATAAAGGTGATTTAAAAGGCTTCCAAACAAACTTTGAAACATTATTTTTACAAGTATCTGTCACAATATGACACCTGTCAATTAGAGAGCGCGCAAGAAAAAAAGCGCAAGAACATTTGAAACACAACGGAACTAGTTTGGCAAGGACTGTCACGACAATGTTTTCTTCAAAAACATTCAATGATCTAACAGAAAGTATTATTCACTCTCATCGACGATTCATTCATGTACGAAGATTTACCTCTGTTCATTAAGTTAACGGCGAGGAAAGTAATTGTGAGTAAATTCAATTTTTTATTTTGAAGTTGTGAGAGTTTGCTCGTTTATTTGCTGTAATGGCGTGTTTAACTCTGATCTTTCCTTCACAAAAACTAAATTCGAACGGCACACTCCAACGAGACGCAAGGGAATTTAATGCAGCCTTTTCTCAATTCCTTCAATTTCTGTTGTGCAATTTAAGGTACAAAATGTCCAAATTGAACGGAATTGGAAAGACTCACCAGGAGCGTATATTTGTTGTAGAACTTAAATTAAAACTTCGCTCGCTTTTTTTTTACTATGAACAAATTGCTCGAGAAAATTCAGATATTAAATGAATGAAAGTTCCATCGTTCAGTTTAACTGTAATCAAATACCTCACGTTTCAACTTTCTGGGTACTTTTTGTGAACGATTAAAATTAATTGCGGACGGTTTTTAGTACGCTTGTCAACCAACGTAATGACACTATTGTTTATACAAATTCATTCTGAAACCAATATTTTTCTGTCAACCAAAGTTATTTGATAGAGAGAAAAGGGAGGATTCATAAGTTATTTATCGGCTTGAGGTAGTGACCGACGTGTTTGCTTAAAAATACTGCCCAGCCGGAGAACGAGGTATATTTATGAAAAATGACAACGAAAGATGGGATGTACTCGGCGACTCACGAAAGTGTTACCGTGGCCCGTGGGCAGAGATAGGAAAATACTGACCGGGTAAAGAACCAATCAGATTGCAAGATTCGTTACC